ATAAAGTCAGTGACTGAATATACTGTATGCAAGATAGTATACAGTGTAATCTCATTGCAGTTCACATTCCCTTACTTCATAGCGACTGGTTGCTCACACAGCACACTTAACTCTGTAAGGTTTACCTACAGGTAGCTATATGCCAAAACAAAATCTTTAACATAAATAATGCAAATTAATTCGCATAAATTCGAAGTGCCGAATATGTCATTAAATCCGGTGTTTTACACAAAACAGATTATCTGAAAGGACATTTTCCTTTATTCGTTCTAGTTAGTAAACTCACCACAAAACCTCCCACAATCAGTGACCTGCTGACTCGAATTAATTATCACATGCGTCGGTTTCCCGTATTTTTGTGCTTTTTGCCACTTACTTGGATTTTGCTGTTGTTTTATTATAACTAATAATGTTCAGTTCAGGGGTGTACCGGGTTTCGTTGGTTGTCAGTGATGATACAATTATTGGCAAACATGGAGGCAAGTCTTGCCCCGGAATGCAGACATAAATCTTGTCGGCAATCTTCACATGCAAAGTGAAAGTATCATAACACAATAGTCATAACCCAACTGCAAGTACATGTTTTTATTACGATTATTACATATTATTTCTTAAAACTGTACCTTCATTACCAGGTTTAACATAGTTTAGTTGTATTTAAGAGAAAAGTTCAAGCACTAAACACTGCAACAAAAATAATTTAATGCATATACCAGTTACAGTACATTTGCTTAATAAAAGTGTTATATTTATTGTTTTCGTTTTTATCTGTTTTGTATTGCTTTCTAAAATACTAGTGACTACAATTTAAGTATAAAAAGGAGTGTTTTAATCAAATCATCATTGACTAAGCTTCCGTGTACTTCTGTGGATTATGGAACATGCAGTCACGCATATGTAAATAATTTGCTGAAGGCGTGCCTTAGAATTTTTTTAAGACTTTGGGGAACGACATCTAGATAGAATTAGTACACCTAGATATAAAACAGAGAATGGGGAGTAGGTAAAACAAGGAATGTCTAAAAGACAAAATGACAAATATTTGCTGACAAAAAGGCTGAATGACAAAATCAGACTTGAGTTCTTTAAAATACTAACACTTCTTGTCAATTTACAATTTAATCTACTGTACTAGTTTTTAATCAATACTTTCCTAGTCAAATGCTAAGAAATCACATGGGTATACAAAATGAGAAGATCATAAAACTTAATTGCATTCTAATAACAGAAAAATAATGAAACATTTCAAACCATAAAAGGTATGTTATCCAAACAAGTTTCACTGTAATAGGGCAGGTAAACATGTAGCCTGTAAAACATGTACACATTGATAAACATCAAGAAAATAAATATTCCAGGGACAGATAGGAGAAGTGTAAATTCACAATGGAGAGAGTAAGCCACACACTCCTTAATGATCTTAGCCTTCTTTTCAAGGGGAGCAGCAGGGGTTAGGAATGTACATAAAATTAGCAATTTGACTGTGCCGGGAACCCAAGGTCCTAATGGGTTGGCTGGTTTGGCAGCCTCCAAGGCATGAAAACATAAACACCCCTGACTCGCTGAGACTTACTTGATAGGCACTGCCCCACGACTGGGAGCTAGGTCCTCAGGGGATAGAAAGGAAGAGATAGACCCCCCGAATGGCTGAGAGCCACTTTCAGGTGCTGCCTCACAACTAGGAATGAATTCCTCAAATAGAGGGAACCTGGATGCAAAGGCAACCCGAAAGGAAGAGGAGGAGGAGGAGGAGGGGAGAGGTGGAGGGAGCTCAAAACCTTAGGTGCGGGTGTTATTGTGGATAGAGCTTCAATAGAGAAAAAAACATTAAAAGATAGAGGAAGGGGAGAAGCACCATCTTTCTTCTACCCCCGAACCATCACCTGTCGGTTTCCATTACAACCTTCTTTTTATACAGGACATTTAGGTTGATTTAATGTGCTCCAAGAATTTTGCCTCTTATCTTCAACACTTTTACCAATGTATTGCAAATTATGGTACTGATGATGTCAAGCCAAAAAGAAAAGCAGGATTTAAAAAAAAAAACATCTGAAAAGTATTAAAGTAGTCCCGTCTCTCTTAAAGAAGCAGAGTTTCTAAAGAAAACTAGTCTCTGTGGACCTCTTTTGTAAACAGTGTCACAACATATGTTTTTTTGTCAATGACCAGACCGAGTACTTTTAGTCATTGACAACCTTTGTACTCTGTCTATCAGTTACAGTAGGTAGATGTTTTTGCCACATTTGATTTAGGGTAGTTGGAAATAATCATTATAAAAATCTGGGGAAACTCTTTAGGAAGTTAGAAATGATGCGGAGATAACAGTTCAATGTCAGGTGTACACTCTCACATATGATGATATTTTGGCAACATTGGTTATTTACTATTTGACAAACCCTTGTACTATTATGTTTACTTGTGGTTACTGTCTCTCTGTCCAGCCAGTGTAGTGAAAACCCCTTAAGCTTCAAACCATCAATACATGTCGGTTTTAGAGATTTATGGTATATGCTTTACACAGTTTCATTATTACATTTATTTTCTAGAAAACCACTCTGGTCTTCCTCTCCAATATTATTAAACATTTGTTTGTTGGCAGCTGGTCTCTAGTTATATGGGTGAAAGTGAAGAAGACTCTCAGCAAGTAAAATGGTTCTTTGTTCTGTGGAGCTTTGCAAACAGTGGTACCATATTCAGTGCTTAAAGTCAAAGACTTAAGATTTTCTTAAATAGTTTAATCGGAGCACAGTAGTTAATTTAGTGCATATGTTCACGCATGGATTTATTTATGAGGGTGTGTTTGTCACAGGGACAAAGCAGGTTCAAGCCTGCAGTCTCCACCCATGTCATAAAACCAGAACACTAGGAAGAGATAAACATACAGTACAACCAAACACATCTTTTTGTACAATCTTTGCCCTGTGTTGCTTTGTAGGTGCACACAGCAATTATTATAAGAAACAAAACTAAAAAATCAGAGCTTCAAAATGTCTTTAAAATACAAATTTATTATTTTGCACAAATAATTATACAAAATAAAAATAAATCAGTAATACTTACCTACTGCTTGAAGGACTCAAGGACCTGGATACTAAATAGGTGTCTTTTATGTGCCAGAGGGAAACTACTAGAGCTGGAAGAAACCAACTTAACCCTAGTAAAGGTAGATCATGTATTCAATTCATATTCAATTCATAAGTACAAATTGCATAAAAGTCTACAGTAGATTATATTTAAAATGTAAGGTAAAGAGTAAGAAAATTGCAAACTGACCATTTTTATACTTATTGTGAGATACACCAACCTCAGTTCTTGGTTCCCAGGCAAGGACACATAAAAGAGTATGTTGTTTGATGAGAAAGGGTGAGAGAAGAGAGTTCTTTTATATTTAACAGCAATATAAAATAATGTGATATATATATATATTTGTTTTCACAACATAAACATATTACACTAAAAGTGATGTCTTCTCTGGTGCTGCTTACCTTCATAAAAAAACTAGTGTTTTCTTTTTTTTGCAATTGCTTGCGAGTAATTTTAAATGGCACCTAAGGTTTTAATTACCTATTAATTTATTTTATACCCATTTATGAAAGCCAGTCATTAAGCTACTGTAAACCATGCTTCGCCTTAAGATAATATGCATGCATGGGACATGAACCATTTGGACTTTCACACTGTAAACGCAAGTTGATGTCAACTGGAAGAAAGAGTTTTGGGAATTACAAGATGTACAGTATAGGCAGTGGCACAGGCAGATAGTGGTTAGTAGTACAGTACCCGATAAAATGAGAAAGTACTTGGAATCAACGTCATGTCATACTGCCAGTGCAAATTAATCTAGATTTATTTATTCAAAACTGTTTTAATTTTAATTTAATTTTTAAATTTATTCAAAACATTTATTCAAAACTGTTCTAGTGATAAAATCCTTGTATAAATACAGTACAAGAAGCAATCATCATGTAGTGAATGGGAGTCCCCATAAAGCACTTTGAGTGTAGTGTCTAGAAAAACACTATACAAGTATAAGCAATTATTATTTGCAGGGACCTTCATATAAAGCTTTAACGGCAATTTATCACTAAATTTTATAATGGACACAGACAAATATTTGTACATAAAATGTTTTTCATTGTGTGGTCCACCCCAGATGTTCCCAACCTTTTTCAAAGTAGAGATCAACATGTTTTCATTTCTCCAGGACAGAAATGTGTTGCTACACTAAAAAAAACACAGCTTTGTGAAAGTTTTCTGTACAGACATATATGAAGATCATAATTTATTAGTCTTTTCCAACTGAGAAATACAGAATATAGGGAGCATCATCAATGTGCTGAAAAAGCACATTTGCAGAATGATACGCTGCTGCTATGAAGTGATGCATCTGATCAGTAACGATGTTCAGATATCCCGTGGCACTGAAACATCGCTCTATTCATATCAAGAGACGCCCTGTGTTGCCTGAAAACAGAGCCCACACCGTTACACCGCCACCACTAGCCAGCCTTGCTGACATCCAGCAGGATTTGTGTTTTTTGCCACATCCTGGTCCTTAAATTAGCGTGAAACAGCAGGAACCGGGATTCATCAGACCAGGCAATGTTTTTCCAATCCTCCAGTGTTTGTGTTTCTTGGCCCACTGCAACAATACCTTCTTGTTTTTTCCCCCCACTGTCAGGAGTGCAACTTGTTGGAGTTGTTGGCTTCCAAACCTTATCCATGGCATGATAAAGTTTAAATGTCATTAGAACTTTTTTTGTGTTAGGTAGCTATAAATAAGGCACAAATGTAATTGTATAGGAATAACAGATATGCTGGAGATGAGATGCAGACCATGTGGTCTAAAGAACACTGGTTTACACATTAAACATTCATTATATGTACGTTTTTTAAATCAGTTTTTCCAAAACAAACCTAAATTATAAATGTTAACAAAAATATTCTGGTTTAATATACTGCATGCCTTTGTGTGATCTCTGACATAGACCAGATTTGTGTGAATGTATAAAAATGTATTTTATTAGCCAATAACACCAACAGCGGCAAAAATGTGTTAAAAAGTGAGATACAGGAGAAGATTAATCCACAATACAGGCTCTGCAATGTATAGACAGTATTTTGATCATATACTTTTAATCTGCTTATTTCCTTTCAAAATTACGATTCTCAATGTTACAGAAATGTTCTGTAGTCACACAACGAGGCAAAAGTTAATCCCATTCCATACAATGTTAACAAACATCTCTGCTAGAACAGAAGTGAACAGACTGATCGTCAATTGAACTGAGATACGGCTGTTGCCTCTGGAATGTTGAGCAAAGAAGTTTTAATAGCTCCAGAGATCATGTTAAGTGCTTCTTCGTGCAAATAGTTACCAACTAAAGCTTTAAAAATACAGCATATTTAGATATGAACTCCCTGCCATGATTCAGGGTTATGATATAGAAACCAGCGGTCAATACAGACATAGAGAAGTGCCATCTTCTACAGTAGTTCTAATCCCTGAAGATCTCTGTGCACTCATCAGAATTTGACAGTCCACTGCTTGACGCTGCAGTCATGCGATGTGGTCACAAGGGTGTGCTCATCCAACCATGCCAACCCGCTGACATGATGCAGCCGATGGGCATCTGCAGAGGGAATGAAAAGTTGAGTAGGGCAAGTTTTTGTTTGTTCTTATATGCTGAACGTGAACGTACATGAAAAGATGATGCAGATGTAAGCTTGAGAATCGGAAAACAGCAAATCCACACCCATTTCCACACTGAAACCTACATGACTTAAAATTTGCCACCTATGGTATTGGTCAGATACCTCACTGAATGACAACTTGGGTAAGCAAGCATGGAAATCACCCAACATAAATACTTCAACACCACATCTTTGTTGGTTTTCGGCAATCCTCGAATTGGATGATTTCTTTACCTCTGAGATTTGTATTTAAAGACTATTTAAAATGAGAAAACGTTTTATTGATAAATCTGTTGAAATATTGTTCACTACCAAAGAAATTCTGCCATTAAATACATAGGAAGGCAAGCAATAAAATAATTAAACAAGCATGTAAAAATCACTGTCCATTGCTAGATGGATTTAAACAAGTTTCATGCAAATTATAGGTTGTCTGACAACAGTGGATTTTCGGGTGAGATTCTTGCAGGCAAACGCGAGAAAAACCTTTCATATAAATTGTAAATGGATCTAAATTCACGGAACATTTTCCCAGCACTTTAAAGAAAACACAAAAGCCCTAGGCTTGGCCAATATGCAGATATGTCTTTACTATTCATTTGCACAGGTAGGAAACAGATAATCTTAGGGAGACTCACAGAATCACAGCTATTCATCACTAGTTACTACAGCAAGTTATCAGAAATTAATTGAGATGCAGATCTTAAAAGATACCTAAATGTTAGATGGATATTTTGTATGATGTAATAAAATGGTCTTTTTGAAATACTCTACAAACAATGCAATTTAGAGCTTGTAAAATTAAGGCAATGCAGAAGACACAAATAATAAACCATCCTTACAGTATTACTAACAGAAAAAAATACTTGATCAGGTCTATAATTAAAACCCAATGCAGTTCATCAGCATTACAAGCCACAGGTCTGCTATAAACTATTTTACCTGGAATCTTCAGTCTTTTGTCTGCATCATTCACGGTCCAGATGAAGACCATCATGTCCATGCCTCCACTAGCAAAACGCTCATTGTCTGGTGACCAAGCCAAACAGACCACCTTGGCATGGTGCCCATAGAAAGCATTCTTTTCCTGGTGGAAGATGAGAGGAGGGAGGAAAGTAATAGTTTCAAATGGCTTTATATGCTGAAGCTGATGTTTTCCATTAACCTTTTCTATGGAGATAATAATCCCTAATTATCTATTTGTAACAAACCTAAAATGTAAGCATTACAATATAGAAGTCCAATTACCCACAATGCCCAGCTGTTAAAATGAATTTGTAACTACTGGACATTGTGGATCATTAAGGTCAAACAATAATACGAAATCAGAAAGTAGCTTATGAACTGTAAAGTATGTCATTGTGTCATCATAAGTTTTAAAAACAATACAATATTTCTTTTCACCAATATTCAGTCCCCCCCTTCCATAACAACATGTAACATTTCATTACAGATTAAATGGAGATTTGTAAGTATTATGAACACTAAAGTTTTTTCTTTTTTTTTTTTAAATGAAAACTGTTCTAAAAGGGAGCAACTTTAATTTTTTAAAAAACATGTTTTAAAATTACTTGTTAAATATATTAACTGGGATTAATTGTTCATTGTTCCAACACTCCTCCTATCTTTGCTTTGCAAAATATTGAAGGGCCTGTCTTGAAGATTTTATGTCACGGTTATACAGTAGTTGTAAAAGCAATGTATGTTTTTAAGATACATAGAATTTGCACATCCTGTTTTAAATAATTGTCATCTTGCATATCCCTAGAATAAACATGTATAGTTTTATGCACATCCATGTTCTTGAACATGCTACAAACACAATGGAATGTAAACAACTTCCACCAATCATATCATTCCCACATAATATACAATAGTGCCACTGTATGGCAAAATATGCGGAAAGTATACATGAGCTGTGTCTAGTTACTTGCTGGTCAGCACATTTAAAATGCGTATATCAGGAGAACAATTCTTACTAAAAATATACCAAAACATACCGCGTATCCATCCGCCACAGTGAAAACTGTAATAACTTTCTGTGCATCAGAAACAGCAAGGAAGGCACCATCATTGGAGTAGGCCATGTCAGTCACTGGCCCCTTAGCTTCTATGACCTTGCCATCTTCCTTTAGAGTGTTTCCTTGAATGGAATAGAAGTGTACTTTTCCATCCTATAAGCGAATATCAGACAGCAGTATAAAAATTAAAGTAGACAAAGAAACAAGCCATTTTTGTACACTGTAAATGTTAGTAATCAAATATCTTTCATGAAAAATAACATAAGGTTGTTAACTTAGTAACACAGTAAAATGCAGTAGTCATTGAAAAGGCCAAGAATCAGGTTTGACAATTCAGTCTTCATTACCCTAATTACAACTCATCAAATGCACAGTAAATTGAAACTCACAGCTCCTCCTATAGCCACTGTGGTACCTCCTGGATGAATAGCACCAGCTTCAGGCTCATAACCAAGGTTGTCCATAGTAAAACATTTCTTCTTGTCCTTTATCAAAACAAGCTAAGACATACAAAAAAACAAAACAAACAAACATTCAATAATATTAACGGCCCAAAAATGTAAAGTTGTCAAAGCTATAAATGCAAGACATTGAGCTACTATTCTGCATAAATATTGTTATAAACCAACTTTACAGTAAGAAAATAGAATCAGTGAAACAATCCAACTGGATGCAAATGTAAAGGTTTCTTTTACCTGTCCAATACAAACAGCCAAAGCGTATCCTCCTGGTCCAACAGACACACACTTGGGCTGAACGTCCATCTTTACAATGTCAGATGCACTAAAAGTAACATAAGCAAACTGAATACATTTAAGATCACTATTTTGTAACCACAGTGTTACTATTTCTGAAGTATAAATTTTAGGATTCCAACTATAAAGAGATCGTGGTATTTAAAAGTTTAATTTCAAACAAGCAGCTTTACTCAACATATTAATCTGAACTACAATACAAGACAAAAGCCCCTAAATTTAGGCTTCCTCAGGGAAATGCCATTGCACTGTAGCTGGAACGTTTTTTAGAATACCTGTATCTTGTGGACTTAATCTGGGCTTCTGCCCTGGAGGGACTCGTATCAAATATCAAAATATATTCGACTACAGAATCAAGGAAGACAACATTGGCCTGATTATGTCTTCCAAAGAGCCAGATGTGAATAATGTGCCGGTATTAAAATAAATCTTGCCCACATTCAAGGTATACACTTTTCAAATATTTATTTTGCATGAATGAAAAAAACATCCTTGAAAAAATGTTTTATGCATTTATCTAATAAAACAAACTGGAACATCGAATAAAAGTTTGACAACCTAATAACATCAAAATATTAAACATGGGCACATTCGGTACAGATGCAGAGATACTAGTCCTGTTTCCTGTAGATGTTGTACAACAATGAATATCATAACCTATGCTTAAAGATACACAAGATTCACTAACCTGTATTCTTTCTTGGTCACACTGGTAAAACGTACAGTATCATCCATGCTACAGGTGACTAAGTGGTTTGACTCATCTACAGCCATCTTGGAAACAAGGTTGCTGTGACCCTTTCCAGAAAAGTCATCATTCTCTCCAGTTTCTGCATCCCAGTAATGTGAGAGATCCAAGTTAAGGGGTACACACCCATGTCCGTGATTTAATACATACGACACAATCAACTACAAAACACATGAATGCAACCCGTAAAACTAAAGTAGTGACTCATGAAAGCATTACTGCATTTCATCTTTTTGTTACAATCCTCAATCTAAAAAGGAAATGACAGCATTTTCAACATAAATATATTCAGTACACATTGGTTACTAGTGCTGAAGGCCATTGCCCCAGGTAACATGCCTAACATTTGAGGTTCTCTCTGCTACTATAGGAAAAAAAAATTAAAATGCAGGTATTAAAGGATATTAATATGGCCATCATGACTTCCAGAGTAGATGTAGGATCTTCCATTGTTCTTGTGAATGGTCAAAGATTGAATTGATTTACTGTGACCCTATTAACAAAAAAAAACAAACAAACAATTGTAGTAAATTAAGTTGAAAATAACAGATAAATGTTCTGTGGTGATCACAAGCTCTGTTCATTTTCACTTATTCTCTCTCATTTGTAAAGTTCAATAGGTAGAAAATCACCTTATCACAAGTAAAAATTTGATTTGGTACAATCCTCAAGAATTATTCACAACATTTTTATGTGCAGGACATACATGTTAAATCAAATTCCAAGTGACTTTCATTTACAGTATTTGAAATTCAACTAATATACAGTTTACAGACTAACCTGACTTTTAATTAAATTAGCCTTATTGAAGATGAACACCCTAATTTGCTTGTAGTTAAAGAAAAAGTGCACAAGACTTCCTTAAAATTTGCATCTGTGGTCATTTAATAGAACACTGAAAGAAACCAAAGTACAAAGTTTCAATATTTCTGTTAAAAGGGAACTGCAGTCCTAATTTCTCAGACTGATTATTAAATTTTGGTAACAAAATTATTTCACTGATGGCAACACAAAATTTTACCAATTCTAAATGAAGCACAAAATTGTGAACTTTGTGAAAGTACTGTATAGTCCCCATGTTGTTGCAAACCCCTGGTCTCGCCACGGGCAAGAGCGAGTTTGTGCTAACTGTGACATGAAATGGCCCTTCCTGCTCACTAGTCGCTGTAATGACTAATGTAATGCGATGTACAAGGAAATAAGTACAGATTGGGCAGCAGACACTTCACCACAGAAATGTTCCAACATGATCTATATGCAGAGGTAACAAGTAATATTTGTCACAACCATCTCAAAATCGAGAGCAATATTTCTCTGGATTACAAGAGAAATATTCACAAGCCTGCTTGTTTACAACGTTATAGGGCCTCTGCATCTCACTGGAAGTCCTTTTGCCCTGTTTTGTATCACAAAATATGGCACTGTTCATACCAGGAAATTTAAACTATTTTATTATGTAAATTGGAGGTTTTACATGTTACTGTGTACATTTTACTTTCATTGTGGTTTGAAATGCACTCAATGTGGATTCTTTCTAACACCGAAATATAAAAATAGAATTGCCGTTCCCCTTTAAATTAAGTTCCCTCTTTAAATTTAAATTCAACTGAATATTAGTGATATTTAACAAGTGTTTTATTAAAAAAACTTGAAAAGGCAACCATATATAAGATGTATGCTAGAGAGCAACAAAACTGATTGAATTTAAGAGAAGAAAGACATACAACTGGCCATGCCATAACATGCAAATTTCCACCCACTGAACAAATTTCCAGTTATCATTGTTTAAACAAGATTGTAAGAATTGCTTAGACATGATTTTAAAAGCTTTCACTTGATCAAATGCCTGCCATAACATACTAGTTATTTTTCCTTCGAAAATAAAAAAACATTAGGCAAGGGCTTCGAATCTCATCAATTCCAAAACACCTACACAGCTTTTTCCAAAACAGATCCAAATGCCTTTTCAGCAGCTGATGTATATCAATTTTCTGCAGTAGTTTCAGTCATTAATCCATCCCTTTTTGTTGGCATTGAACACTATTTTCAATTTCCGCTTGTATTTTTGTTACGATTTTTTGCTTTGAGGTCATTTTATTTTTTTTAAACAACAGAAAGGAAAATTAGTTTTTTCTAGAAAAATACTAATACCCTTAACAAAACAGAGTGGTACACAGGTTCAGCATCACCCAGGCTAGAAGGCCACAAATATGCATGAAAGCATACAAAACGTACACAAGAATCCATATTAAAATAGACCCCAAGATCATTTTCCAGCTAGCAGCGGTGACGGTATGTAATCCCATAGCTTTCAAGTCTCATACATTGCGAGCCAATTTCATGGATTCAAGCCTTGGTCTGAAAATCTAGTGTATTTACATCAAGTCTAGTTTGATTTAAAAAATGAAGGTAAAATTATGAAATTGTAAAGATATGCAGTTCCTTTAACCAATGTGTTCTCATACATTAAAAAAAGAAACCATTAATACATATAGTATCCAATCACAATATTCCACAGAAAATATCTTTTGTACAGGCTTCTACACAGACCAGCAGTTAATCAAAGGACAGGATAAAACAGAAGTTGCTGCATCACCTTTCATTAAAAAGGCTGGCTACCATAGTGTACATAGTATAGAATCAGCAATCTCCAAATTTTAAGATATGAACTATAAAAATGTTATTAAACCAAAGTTTGTTAATTAAAACTCCAAATATGTAGTCAGAGTTCCATAAATGACATGAAAACAGAAAGGAACAAATTCCTACATCAGCTGCAGCTTTCAACTTAAAAGAGTACTGATTTTAAAAGGAAAATGCAATAACAGTGCACTGAACC